CATATTTTTTTCATAATTATTTGCCTTTCTCTGTTGTTTCTTTCATGCACTCATAATACTTCTAATGTTTCACACCATGCGCTTATTCTCTTGATTTAATCATTCTATTGTATCAGTAGTTTTGTTTTTTTTTTTTTAACCAGCTTACCCAAAATTTATTGGAATTGGATTGGGTGTTAATGGTTAAAGGATAAATGAATAAATATTAGGGGTTTATTTGTATAAGCCTCAAAATATAAATTCATTCCCATTCACATGAACTGCAAGATTTTAGCAAAATGTATATAAGAATGAAAGGTTTCATCTGAAAAAGTTTCATAGCCAAATAAGGTTTGGAAGTGTTAGTTAAATCAATATTAAGGTTTTGGAAGTTCTGGTTAAGGCAGGTCTGTTTGCCATAGCTCTTCAATAAGCTGTAGCAATGTGGGTTTGAATTGGCAATAGGAAAAAGAAGTGCAGGATAGTCTGCGAAGTATTTAACTAATTTTTTTTTTTGTGTGTGTGTATGCCAGTCATTTTTTTTTGTTTTGTTCATATTTTTTGAGTTACACTTTGAGAAACACTGGTCAATTGATTAGAAATCAAAGTACCTCAACAGAAAAGGGGTTCAGGTGAGAATAATAAAGGCCCCAAGGAAAGGGTGTTGCTCCTTGGGGTTGGTTCCAAAGAAACACTCATGAAAGTACATGGAAGGTGGCCCGCATCCAAGGTCTGTTCTCAGATCCTTAGTGATCATGGTAAGCCAAGTTAAGTTTCTTTGGCAGAGGGCAAAATAGTTCTCTCCCCTTAAATTTATGTGTGCCATCCAAAAGTCCTGGGTCCACAAGGATGTGTCTGTTTCCTCACATTTCAATATATCATGGCTCTTCTAAACCCACAAAAATGTTCCAAGGTTACTTGTTGTTCTCATTATTTGAAAAAGACACCACTAGGAAAACTACCAGTGAATGCGAACTAAGCAAGCTCTGAAGAATATTCAGGAAGTTTTAGGACCCTCACTCTTATGAATAACAGCAACCATATGAACAACTGTATGCAGTCAGGAATGTATATGGCCTTATAGGTGGTGAGAGGAGGGGGCATTTGTTTCCTGTGGCTACTGTAACAAATGTTAAAAACACGGGGTTACTGAAACACACACACACACACACACACACACACACACACAGATTTATTCTCACACAGTTCTGGAGACCAGAAGTCTGAGATCAGTACCAGTATTATTTCAGTCTGAAGTCTGAAGTCAAGGTGCTCCCTCGAAAGGCTGGAAAGGAGAATATATTCCTTCACTCTTTCAGTTCCTATGGGATTCTGTCATTCATTGTCTTGTGGCCACATGATGCCAATCTGTCTCATGGACACCTTAAAGATTATCACGTCAATCTGTGAGTTAGGTAATCGAGTTTGGCTGAATTATGTAGCTCTACATTCTAGTTTAATTGGCAGGTAGAGGTTGTGTGCATTTGTGGTGTAGAACATGATGTTTTGATATATGTATACATTGTGGAATGGCTAAGTTGAGCTATTCTTGAAAGAATGCATAATTAAATAGATTGACTTAGCCATTCCACAGTGTATCTCTCTCTCTCTCTCTCTCTCTTTTTTTTTTAGGTGAGAACAATTAAAAGCTATTCTCCAGCATTTTTCAAGTATGCAGTCTATTGTTCTCAGCTGTAGTCCCCATATTGTACACTAGGTCTCTTAAACGCATTCCTATTGTTTAAGTTTTGTGTGCTTTGACCAACATCCTTCCATTTCCCACTCATTCCTTCCTCCAGTCTCTGGAAACCACCATTCTACCCCCTATCTATTTAACTCCAACCTTTTTAGATTTAACATATGAGTGAGAATTTGGCTGGACTACAGCTTACAACAATTCTTATTCTTACTGTCTTTCCTCAAGCCTTGTCATCAAGAACTTAAGAGAAATATCTTGAGCATATACAAACAACCCTTCTTACTTTTTCATAGTTCTTTTGTGCATTTCTGAATCTAATGACAAACCCATGCACAGGTAGGGCTGTTTTTATTTCCATTTTGCAAATAAGAAAAAAAGTTTCCAAATCTGGAGTGAAAGGCTTAGAATCGGTCATTTCCTATTTCTATTATATTATTATCTCCCAATTTGAAGCAAAGTCCATATCCATATAGTCTGAACTTGTCTGAGGTCAGGTGCGTAGCTGTGACCACTGACTCCCACCTCGTTTGGTGGTCATTTCTTGATTCAGACGTGGTTCTAGCACTCTAGTCAGCTGCCAGGAGAGAGCTGTTTGAATTCTACTTTAGACACTTATGAAAGAAGCACATGCCTTTGAATTCTTCTGCTTATCTCCCTCCCACTAGTTACCTCTGACTCTCTTTCAGGTTCATCAAACACAAGATCACCCCAGTGAAAACATTTCTCTCTTTTTAGTTCTTACAAATCTGCTCAAACTTACATACAGAAAAGGATTTGAAGTTCTCAGATATAATTGACTGCACAGGTTGCAGTGGAATTCTGGCACAATTCTCAAATATAGGAGACTCTTAAAGAGATTTTAGAAGTCAGAATGTATAAAAGGCTGAAGATAATTGATTAAAAACTGAAAGACAAAAAAATCACATTTCGTTTAAAGCAATGATGGTAAATTGGTTTGTGGGTTATGGAAACATTTCTATTTTATCCTTTGAAAACTATTACAGAAGTGTCCAAATGGAAGTGTTGGGGCTCCTTACCTGACCAACTGCCTGGGCCATACCCTGCTCAATCTCTCAGGCTTCAATGTGGAGCAGTACTTGCTGATGCCATCTGAGAAACCAAGGTGTGTTACAACTGTCCCTCTATCTTTTCTATTGTCTTTGAATTATAGTCCTGCTCCTTACATATTGGTAATTGATTCCTGCAGCACCAAGGATGCCAAAGTTTGCAGAATCTCAAGTCCCCTATATAAAATGGCATAGTACCTGTATATGACCTGCATATGTCCTTTTTAATACTTTAAATATCTAGATTACTTAGAACTGATACAATGTGAATGCTGCCTAAATAGTTGTTATACTGTACTGTTTAGGTAACAATGACAAGAAATAGAAGTCTGCACATGTTTAGTACATAGCAATTTTTTTCCTGTGTGTTTTCTATCTTGGTTGGTTGAACCCATGTTTGTAGGACCCAAGGTTATCAAGTGCCAGCTGTGCTTTGAAGAACCTATTGTTTCAAATGTTAATGTTCATGAACTCTCAGAAGTCTAATACTCACCTTGGTATTCATAAAAATTCCAAAGATATGCTGTGGGCCTTAATCAGATTCCTCACTGCTGGTTTTCAATCTTTGAAGCATTGGGGGAAATCATATCAATTGAGATTCCATCAGTGGTAGAGGCTGGGAAGCCAGAAGCAGTTTTACTGCTTTAGGGAATTCAAGCAGATGAGTTAACAGCATAATGAAATAATGGCCTCTTTTTAGAATTCCCTATACTTTGCCACATCTAGTATGGGCACCTGGGTACAAATGGTATCTTAAAATTCCTTTGGGTGATTTTGAGTAAAGCTTTTGCTTTGTGCTGATTTTCCTTGAGCCTGAGGAGGTGAATTTAGAGAAAGGGATGGAGGGCAGAAATGAATAAGAAGTTTTGTTTTAAAATCTCAGAAGCATTTGCCTCACTGTCAAATTTCCTAAGCCTGCCAAATATAATGCATTGTTTCATTTAGATGGTCCATGTTGCCTGAGATACCTAAGGCCTTCTGTCTCCTCTTTGCCCTTGTCAGACCAGCATATCCTCATCCTCCTGAACATCAACCTTTTCTACCCCAATGTGTTTTAACTGTGTCTCTCCTGCTTCCCCACCTTCTAGCATCCATAAAAATGTCCTATAACCTCTAGCTTCCTTTTTTAACCCTGATGGTTAATTTTTAATTAGGATCTTTTGTGCCCAGAACTTAGAATAGTATCTGGCGCCTCAAGGGTGCTCAGTGAGTTTCTGTTGAATGAATGAGTGAATTTAACTGAGCCAGGTAGGAGTGCATTCCTATTCCTTTGCCTCAATTTTTGTAGCAAGTAGAGTTACCATGTATAGGACTGTTCTCTAATCTCCTTCTATCCAGAGAGTGGGGGACAGTGTTTAATATGTGCCTTTATTTCTTTTCTTTTTATTTATTTATTTATTTTTTTAGAGAGAGGGAGAGAGAGAGAATTTTTTAAAATATTTATTTGTTAGTTTTTGGTGGACACAACATCTTTATTTTATTTTTTATGTGGTGCTGAGGATCGAACCCAGCGCCCGGTGCATGCCAGGCGAGCGCACTACCGCTTGAGCCACATCTCCAGCCCTGTGCCTTTATTTCTAATGTCAATTATGTTTGAAAGTTTAATAAATGTCAGATACCATGCAGCCCATGGAGATAACAGAAATTAAATCTATAATTTCTACCTAGGAAAAGCTCACAGAGCTACATGAAAGATAAGGTAGTAAGTAGAAGATTTTAAAAAAGGGTGGTAATTGATATAATATATGGGAATGTAGGGTACTGGGAGAATTCAAGGAGGAACATCTCACTCAACTCTTGTATTCAGATGCCTTCCTGACCCAGGTGAGATATGAGTGGTGAATGAGAAGAGTAGAGTAGGGTCTTCAAACCAGGGTGGCTGCAATATCATGATGGTCCAGGTAATCTTAAATAGTGTGCTTTTTGAGGAAATGACCTTGATTAAAATAAATTGCTGATGATCACACCATGTGCTTGCATGGCATTTCCTAGCAAGATGGTAAGTTCTGAGAAATATACTTGCTAATCTAGTTCTACTCCATAAGCAGTGGCCTCCTTGGATGCTGGAATTGGGTAGTCACTTCTGCGAGCATGTGCCTTAGGCTGTGTGGTTGGTCATTCTGCCGATCAGAGAGATTCAACTGGCCATGGTCCTAAGAGCGCCATACCTCGTGTGGTTGGTAACTAAATACCCTCTGGGTAGAAGTCCTGGTGCCCACTGATTGGAGCACTAACCCCATGTTTACTTTTAACAGGCTTGGAGGCTGGTCTTTTGGAGTGCAAGACCCCGGTGAAATTCAAGATGTGAATGCAAACAAGTCGAAACCAAGAACTCTGGCAAAGGTAATTGTTTGTTTTTTCCTTCCAATTTTAGAAAGTATTTAGGAAAATTAAAAATCCAAATAGATTTTTGAGTAGTAGTAGGGGCTGGATCAAAACCTAATACTTTATGTGAATAAGAATAGTTGTATGTAAACATTTCCTTGAGAGGGGAAATGAAATTTTGTACTTTAGATTGTGTGGAAATAGAGCAAATAGGTTCCTGCTTTTGTTAAGTCAGGACTTCATTTAATAAGACCAAAACAAGTGTAAAGATAATGTATTTTTAGAGATATCATAGTTGTGATAAGTAGAAATGTCATTACTGTCCCCAGTGGCCAAAAAATTCTTTTATGCATACACTTTAATTCTTTATCTTCCAAAAGGCTGATGGACACAGAGGTGACATTGAGAAATCAGCAAATACACAGGAAGCTCAAAGGACCCCCAGATTTTCAAGCCCTGGTAGGAGTATCCTATTAATTAGGTATAGGTTTTTTTTTTTTTTTTTTTGAATTACAGAAAACAGGTGGCAAGATTTGCCAGGTGTGAGAAACTGGGATAGAGGAACATGCTTTTATCTACCAATAGCAATGCAGAATTAGTTAATACTACAGATTTTTCTAAGGGAAAAAAAATCAACACAATCTTGAACTGGGGAAAGCTGAAAAAATTAGTTTTGGTCTCCATGACTGGGGAAATAGTTTGGTGTTCTACTGAGAGAGAAATTGGAAAAAAAGTAGATTGTGGGAGGAAAGTAAGTCCACTGTAAGAAAGTGCTTGTCAGTCATGTTAGGACATCAGTGTAGAAATGACCCAAAGTTGTTCATTTCTATCATGTGGGTATCTCATCTGCACTTCACCTTAACATAGAATTAATGAAACTGATGATCTTCCCAGAAGATACCCTCCAGATAACTTTCCATGCACAGGTCCTAATATGGATTAACCTGGAAATATGGAACCTGGAAAAGTTAATTCATATTAGGACCTGTGCATGAGAAAGTTCCCTCAGGAGAATAAAGACTCCTCACATGTATTTCACAGTGTCATTCCTGATGAAAATGTTAACAGTCTTGCTTTAAATATAATCCCTGAAGAAAATTCTATGTCATAGTGTGGACAGCTCAAAAATCTCTTCTTCAGCAAGGTTTGTTCAGATCTTTCCTCCTCCCCAACCTTTTTTAAAGTCAACATACGTGAGGAGATTTATAGCTTGGTGTGAAAATATCATTCATAGCTTGATAGACACCCTGAAATACATTTGCTGGCATAGATTGGAACATGTGTAGCCAATATTAAAACGTGCCTGATTTGTAGAAGGAATCTGTTTCTTTCCTCTAAGAATATTTTTGCTTGGGGAGATCCAATGGTGGCAAGTGGGGAGGCAGCGCTTTCAGTACCTCCTCAACAACGGGGTCAGAGAGACGCATGGATACGCTTAGATTCGACCTGCTGAGAAACTCCTAGCAAAATTCCACTAAAGAGAGACCGGCCGGGAATTGGTAGGATTTTTGGAGGTGACAGTTTGTGCTAGACGAGTGAATCTCTGCCACGCAGCGCAGAGGTCCAGACCCGCCAGCCGCTGCCCGCTCCACTCGGCGACTGTCAGCTGCCTGCACGCGGCCCCCACGTCAGGGCGGATAGCCTCCGAGGCGCAGCACAGCAGGAGCGGTGCAGGGACTCTAGGAAGAGGTCTCTCGCCAAGCCTTCATGAAATAGCGAACCGGGAGCTGAAACCAACCAGAGACAGACCAGTCCCACCCCTCCCTTCGGACACTCTGGCAAGGAGCCTGGGGCCCGCCATAGCAGAGAGGTGACATCACCAGAGTTCCGCCGACAGAATTCCTTCCCAGCAGAATCCACGTTAGCAGGTGTGTGACTCCCACCCCCTCCAGATACAAGCAGCCAGGAAACCTCGGGAATCCCTCCGGGGGCGTGTCTGTAGGGAAGCAGAGGGGATTCCAGATCCCCACCTCCCCTTAACACCAGCGACGACACCCAAGATCTTAGCCGCCAGTTTCTGGGGGCGTGCCCACCAAAGGGGTCCAGAAAAATTAAACTGTTGGTTCCCAGATCACCCCACCACAGCACTGGGGCTTAGATGAATGACAGAGAGGGTGTTCATCGTTCGGGATATAGGACACGTGGTGGGGCTGCAAGTGTAATCAGATCCTTGGGGAACCGCCTCCGGTGAACAGGACCTGGCTGGCTGGCTGAGAGGAGGAACAGGGGGAGGGGCCGGATAAGTGAAAGGGCTCTGGACTAACAGGATTGAGAGACTCCCAGGAGCCACCTTACAGGGATTTCTGTCAGCACATAGAGGGTAGAAGCTCGGCTCAGAGGGCACAGCTCCGCCTATTGGAAGAGAAGAAAATGGGATTCAGCCATAGAACAGGGGATGCCAGCATGGCAGAGATCTGATGTCATCGGAGAGTGGCCGAGGAGAGAACTTCATCAGTGCCAGCGGCGACGGAAACAGTTGGTCTCTTGGTAGGGAGGGTGAGTCACAGATACCCGAGTCTCTCTCGTTTTGTTGTCGAGCCAGAGGGGAGTAGCGGGGCCGCCGCCCGCGCCGGCAAGGTAAGCAGACCTGCGACAGACCGGCGGATCAGGCCCAGCAGCCTGCCAGCGTGGTACACACTTCACCCCAACTGGAGTAGGGGCAGAGCAGAGCCTTCGCCCGCGCCCAGATCAGGCCCAGCGGCCCGCCTGTGTGGTGGTCAAGTGACCCCAATTGGAGTGGGGGCGGAGCAGAACTGCCACGCGTGCCCACAAGGTGGGCAGACCGGCGACCAACCTGCAGATCAGGCCTAGCGGTCCCCGGGTGTGGTAGGAGGGGCAGGGCAGAGCCTTCGCCCCCACCTGCAAGGTAGACAGACCTGTGACAGAATGGCGGATCAGGCCCAGGGGTCCGCGGGCGTGGTAGACACCTCACACCAATTGGAGGAGGGGCAGAGCAGAGCCCCCGCCCGCACCTGCAAGGGAGACTTTTCAACTATACAAGAGCAATATAAATATATAGGGGGGGAAAAATTTAAAAAACACAACAATTTCACCAAGAAGAAAGAAACGCAAGCAGTATGAAAAGACAAGGAAAGAAAGGACTACAAGCAATGCAGGTCAACTCAACTTTAGAAGAGGTAACAGCTGCAGCAGATGGAATGTCAGATAAAAAATTCAGGATATATATGCTTCAGATGATCTGGAGTCTCAAGGAAGACATTAGACAGCAAAATCAGACAATGAAAGATCACTTCGACAAGGAATTACACAAACAAATCCAGGAAGCAAAGGATCAACTACACAGGGAGATAGAGGTTATAAAAAACAAACAGAAATCCTAGAAATGCAGGAAGCAATAAACCAACTTAAAAACTCAATTGAGAATACTACCAGCAGAGTAGAACACTTAGAAGATAGAACATCAGACAATGAAGACAAAGTATTTCAACTTGAAAAGAACATAGACAGCTCAGCAAGACTGTTAAGAAACCATGAGCAGAACATCCAAGAAATATGGGATAACATTAAGAGACCAAGCTTAAGAGTCATTGGGATACAGGAAGGTATAGAACTCCATACCAAAGGAATGAGCAATTTATTCAGTGAAATAATACGAGAAAACTTCCCAGACTTGAAGAATGAGACAGAATCCCAAATTCTAGAAGCCTACAGGACGCCGAATGTGCAAAATTATAAGAGATCCACACCTAGACACATTATAATGAAGATGCCCAACATACAGAATAAGGAGAGAATTTTAAAAGCTACAAGAGAAAGGAAGCAGATTACATTTAGGGGTAAGCCAATCAGGATAACAGCTGATCTTTCAACACAGACTCTGAAAGCTAGAAGATCCTGGAATAACATATTTCAAACACTGAAAGAAAATGGGTTCCAACCAAGAATTGTGTATCCAGCGAAATTAAGCTTCAGGATGGAAGATGAAATTAAAACCTTCCACGACAAACGAAAGTTAAAAGAATATGCAGCTAGAAAACCATGTCTTCAAAACATCCTTGGCAAAACATTACAGGAAGAGGAAATGGAAAATAACAATGAAAACCAACAGTGGGAGGTAGGACAGTAAAGGGGGGAAAAATAATCAAAGAGGAAAACAAACCATGTTTAGTAACATAAATAAACAAATATGGCTGGAAGAACAACCCATATCTCAATAATAACCCTAAATGTTAATGGCTTAAACTCACCAATTAAGAGACACAGGCTAGTAGAATGGATCACAAAACAAGACCCAACAATATGCTGCCTACAGGAGACGCATTTGATAGGAAACCACATACATAGGCTGAAGGTGAAAGGTTGGGAAAAATCATATCACTCATATGGACTTCGGAAACAAGCAGGAGTGTCCATACTCATATCAAATAAAATAGATTTCAAGCCAAAGTTAATCAAAAGGGATAAAGAGGGACACTACATACTGCTTAAGGGAACCATACACCAACAAGACATAACAATCATAAATATATATGCCCCAAACAATGGTGCAGCTATGTTCATCAAACAAACTCTTCTCAAGTTCAAGAGTCTAATAGACCACCATACAATAATCATGGGAGACTTCAACACACCTCTCTTGCCACTGGACAGATCTTCCAAACAAAAGTTGAATAAGGAAACTATAGAACTCAATAACACAATTAATAACCTAGACTTAATTGACATATATAGAATATACCACCCAACATCAAGCAGTTACACTTTTTTCTCAGCAGCACATGGATCCTTCTCAAAAATAGATCATATATTATGTCACAGGGCAACTCTTAGACAATATAAAGGAGTAGAGATAATACCATGCATCTTATCTGATCATAATGGAATGAAACTGAAAATCAACGATAAAAGAAGGAAGGAAAAAGCATACATCACTTGGAGAATGAACAATAGGTTACTGAATGATCAATGGGTTATAGAAGACATCAAGGAGGAAATTAAAAAATTCTTAGAGATTAATGAAAACACAGACACAACATATTGGAATCTATGGGACACATTGAAAGCAGTTCTAAGAGGAAAATTCATTGCTTGGAGTTCATTCCTTAAAAAAAGAAAAAACCAACAAATAAATGATCTCATACTTCATCTCAAAATACATCGAATCTTAAAGGACAGAAGGTTGAGGTCAGCAAACCATTCTGGGTCTAAGCAAGAGAAATCATAGTGTGCATTCACCTTACCTGAGAGTCAGTTTGACCTCATTGTAAAGTTGAATAGAGAGAGATAATTGTTGATCCCTCTGGAAAGATCATTTGAGGTCAAGTTCTGCCTGACCTTGACCGCCAGGGTAAGGAGTATGAACTTTGATAGCATTAGACAGTCTTTCCCATTATTTGAGGATAAGAATGGCATGATCAAGGTAATATATTATGAACAGTGAATTGAAAGCCATAAATTAAAGGGGAGAGTTGATAGCAATCAAGTGACCTGTTGGAAGG